TAACCTCTTCAAGTACTGCCTCCGCTCCACTATCCTGGAGCTTGCCAACCTCTTCAGTTTTAGATAGGTTCTGCCAACCTCTTCCGTCTATTCATATTTTTGTCTCTCTTATCATCTCGCCACATACCTCTTCGTCTCTTATAATCCAAGTATATCATCAGTTAATGGTTCCTTTAAGAGGGACAAGATCCACGACTTGGGAGTGAAGCTCCCGATCGGCGATTTCCGTCGAATTGGGGCTCCTTTTGAGCACCTGACCTGGGCGATTGGAGGACAACGGGACACGCCGTTGGAGCAGAGTCTGGGACAGGTGATGGTGTTCTCAACATCACGACAAGGAGTCTCCGTGGATGTGCATTCCAGCTTTCGATTGTTCGAGCGTCTAGCCTATCGTTTGACATCATTCAGGGTTGCGACCTGTCGGTGACGGACAGCCATTTTTGCATCGCAACGAACCAAGACTTGTTCTTAAATATAGGAAACTCATGATGGAGCTCGTGAAAAGGTATGCCGGCATTGGCATCAGGATTGACAGTTCTTAAATTCAAAGCGATGTAACTCCAAATGTGGATTTCCGTGTGGGAGGTTACCTAGGAGCTGAAGTAGTTCCGTATCAGCACCAACTCCTCGAACAACAGTTACAGATGAGTTTGATATTTTAACCGCAAGCATATCTTTTAGATTTTTTATTTATTTGCATTAAAGTTCGCATTTCTGAAACTAATCATAGTTTTGGTTCCCTCACTTGATGTCGTCTTCTTTTTTTAATTGAATTTTTATCCATGTCCTCTTTCGAGAGAGAAAAACATTTTTTTATCGTAAAACAGATGGCTTTATATTAAAATCGAGAACACATACAAGACAATCTTCAGACGGATTTTACAGATCCAGCCGTGAACCCTGTGAGTAGACATAGAATCAACCACCTCATACAAAGCAACCTGACTCGTTAAACCTGAAACGGACAAATTTAAGCCAAAACGAACGGATTTGAAACCTTGACTATCAAAAGAACTCCCAAAACCCAAACATTCAAACCAAATCTAATCGGACTAAAACAAAAACAAGTAATACTAAAGAGAAAATAATATTGAAATGAAATCTTTCCACAAAACTCTTCCTGGTATTGAGGTGGTTCCGGAGGAGCACGAGCTCTTGCAATATGGTGAATACCAACTCCTCCACCACCGGAGCGGGCCGACCAAAAATTCACAATCCAGCATCGATACAAACTCTCAGCCGCAATCCGTTTATCTGCCAACGTCATCTCTTTCGACGTAGTTGCAATCCCAAACATTAGAACACTTGCAATCAGAATAATTTACTGCTCCAACCCCATATTGACAGGGGCGACAAAAAAACTCAACCCCTACAAAGAGGGGAGACGGCCGCTAAGTTTTTAGAGAGAAACAAGAGCTCTCTAGGGTGTTTTAAAGGGAGGGATTACTTTTTACAAGTCGTCAAGGATTTCAAAACAGAGAAGAAAAACTTTACATATTAGGGTTGCAAAACTTTTTTTGCTTCCTTGTTTGTGATATTTTTAGCATTACTTCGTGTTCTTGAAATTGATACATCGTTTAGAAAATGTGGAAATCTGTATGTTTAATTTAGGAAGCGAGAAGGGATGATTATTCACATAAACAAGTCAATTGAACTCATTTTTTGCTTCTTAGCATGGCTAGCTCTACCGTTTTGGAGGCCCTAGGCAAAAAACGTACGTTTAATAATACTCATGTATCATAATAAGTGACCGACTAGGTTTTTTTCATAATTTAAAACTAGGAGATTTTTGGTACTTTAGTTGTACTGTTTACTTTATTAAAGTGGCTTTTGGGGTGGACTTCTTCCAAAAATGGAACTTTATTTGACACTTATTTTAATACAAAAAAAGTGTGACACTTATTTTGATACATATCTTATTAATGTGATTTATGTAACACATAGTCATAAAAACAAGGCAAAATAGCTAGCAATTCAACATCCCATTGTCATTGCCAACAATTTTGTGGATGACAATTGGTCTTTACAATCGATTCGTAGAGTTGGCAAGCATTTGATAACCCGGTCTCTCTTCAACTTTTTGTTTCTCTTTGTATTTTCGGAGTCAAATTTTCTTTGCATGTCATGATAATTCCTACATATTTAGCATATCTATAGATAATAATTAATAAAAAAAAACCATCAACAAAAACGTAACTCAAAATAAGATGAATGATTGAAATTTGACCTCTCTTTCCTGTGCGCATGCACGGGTACTATACTAGAAGATTTTTTTATATGTAAAATAGCTAAAATGGTCATATACAGTAACTTCATTCAATACAACTAGAAAAGTAACTCAAACTTAATTTTTCTGCTAATTACATAATTAAATACGCGAAAACAAAAATTACATGTTTGATGAAAAAGTTAAGTGATAAGTATAATAAACTGAAAAAACGAACTAAAATCGACTAAATACCAAATACCAATCATTCACACGCACGTGCTACTCCAATTGTCCAAAGCACGACGCAGCCGCCCAAACTCTGTCACGGAATCGCTAATCGGAAATTAAATCGGCCAATCGCTACTCCCGCGACTGGTCGGCCGTCAGAACGTTGGGACACGGAGGCTGAGAAGTGAGCACCTCTAACTCCTATTCTCTTTCTCTAGTCGCTACTCGCCTACTCGACACTCCACAACCTCCTCTCCCGAATAGCAGGTAAATTTCTTAATTGTTTAATTTTATTGTATTTTTTATATTATTCAGTTTAGCTGTGTGTTTAGGGGTGTTTGGATCTGATTCATAAAACTGATTCTGCTCCCTGAAAGAGTAGAATCAGAAGCTGAAGTGTTTGGCTGAAAGTGTAGAAGTGATTCTAGTGCTCTAATTTACTCCTAGAAACAATTATTTTAAAAGTTGGGGGTGACCAGCTTCTGAAAACTGATTTTTATTCTGCTTCTTCTTTAAAAAAGAGGGAGAATTAGAATAAGTTACAAACACCCCCTTAAAATTACATCAAAATCTGGTTATACTCAATATGGATTTTTATTGAGTCCTTAAAAGTCAAAAGTCAATATGGATTTTGATGGATTCTATGCCAAATAGTATAACAAATCAATCCAACACAATCTCTCCCATAATGCTCGGATTTCCAAATCCATCTAAGAGAAATGCTATATGTACACAGCATTCTACACATCATAAAAAAGCCCCACCTCCTCCCTTTTCTAACCCATTTAACCCCCCACCCCTAATTTGAATCCTGTCACGTGCGCCTCCCACCCCCTTTCTTCTCTTTCCCGCATCCCACTCTCCCTCTTCTCTTTCCCGCATCCCACTCCTCTCCCTCCTCTCCCTCGCTCCGGCGTCTCCGAGAAACGGCTTCAACCCACTCCTCTCCCTCCATCGACAGAAGCACGGCGCTCCCCCTCTCTACCCTACCGAAGTCCGTCGCTACTTCCACCCTCGCTCTGGTGTCTCCGAGCATCTGCGAAAGTGAGACGGTCCACTTGAGGAAATGGTTCGCAGTTCCCTTACAGAAATGGCTCAAAGGTATTTTTTTCTAACCTTGTTTTGAGTTAATTTCTCACTTAATTTTTCCCTTATTTTTTTTGGAGGCTAGCACTTGTATTTTTGAGTTTATGTTTGTTCTTGGCTGTTTTTCGGTGGACTATTGACATGCATGAATTATTTTGAAGTTTATTTGTTGTTCTTGGTATTATGTGCTTGATTTGTACCATTTTGTAGTGTATATTGTATTTTTTGTTTGGAGTAAAACCGTATTTTCTCATGTTTTGATTTTGACAGTGTTTGGAGTTAGCTCTTTATTCCATTTTTTCAGATGTTACCTGTTCAGTGTGTTCATATGTTTGCGGTTTTTCAGATGTCTGTGTAGTGTGTTCTTAAATGTTGTTGTCATTTGTAAGATGTCTTTGTAGTGTGGTCTTACACGCTTGCGCAGATGACAGTTGTCTTTATGGTTTTCTAGACTTGTCTGTGTAGTGTGTTCTTAAATGTTGTCATTTGTGAGATGTCTGTGTAGTGTGGTCTTAAATGTTGTCAATTGTGAGATGTCTGTGTAGTGTGGTCTTACACGCCTGCGCATATGACAGTTGTCTTTATGGTTCTCTAGAGTTGTCTGTCTAGTGTGTTCTTAAATGTTGTTGTCATTTGTGAGATGTCTGTGTAGTGTATGTCCTATGCACTTGTCTATTCACGAATTAGAGTAGCCTGTATACCATTGTTGAGTTGTCTGTCTAGTGTGTTCTTTTACTTTAAAGCTGTCTGTGTAGGCTTGTCTGTGTAGTGTGTCTGTGTGGTAGTAAGATGTTTGAATTGTGTCATTAATGTTTTCCTTTGTTTTCCTGAGCTGAAACATAAGATGTCTAAGTGTTTAACAAATGTCTGTGTTATTATTTTTGTGTGGTAGTAAGATGTCTGTGTCCATCATTTTTGTGTGTACATAAGATGTCCAAGTGTTTAACAAATGTCCGTGTTATTATTTTCAGGATGGAATTGAAAATTCCTCTTAAAGATTACTTCCCTGCTCAGTATTCTGTAAGGTCCGCATTTCCTGAAGCACTGGAACTATTGAGCGAATGCTTGACGCTGAAACAAATGAGTATGCTTATTAAAACTCCATGGGGCCATTTGCCCGATGCTCCACCTATGCAATTTTCTGCGCAACTCATTCATTTGTTGCTGTTACGCCTTGTGCGTGACCAGCCGGAAGATGAGTTATGGTTTGCAGTCGATGGCAAGTTGCTCAAGTTCACATACCAGGACTTCAAGAGGATTAGTGGCATACATGATCCGATGGAGTGGCCTACGTATGATCTTCATGAAGAACGGTTGGGGGTGGTAGATAAATATTTTGGGGTGATTTTGTTCTAAAAACACTTGTGAAATTTCTCATGACCCAACATAAGTAGTGCGTGCTCTAATTCTTGCGGTACAAGATGTTTGCATTGAAGCTTGAGGTTTCAAACAGTTTAGTGTCTTGCTACCTGTACTTCCCGCCCGTGAACACTCTATCACTATTGACACTACAGCACCCTTGGATCTATCCTTAGTAGATGTTCTTTTTCTAATCGGGAATCCTACACTCCTACCATATTTTTTGTAAAACTCATACACCACGTCTGTGCTTGCAAACTTCATGCCCACTTTCGGAACAACCACACTAACATCTTCTTGCTCTTCTTCCTGTGCATATGCATCTGTGAATTCATACACAGACTAATGAATATGTATACATAGACTAATTTATATAAATACAGACATTATTCATCAATACTATACAGACAAATGAATAAAAGATTATAGAATGCAGACAGTATCAATGAAATACAGACAAGTTCAAATAATGATCAAAGAAATTACAACATATGAATAAAATATGATAGAATGCAGACAGTATGAAATGAAATACTGGACAAGTTCAAATAATGATCAAAGAAATTACAAGAACATATGAATGAAATATTATAGAATGCATACAGTATGAAATGAAATACAGACAAGTTCAAATAATGATCAAAGAAATTACAAGAACATATGAATAAAATATTATAGTATGCAGGCAGTATGAAATGAAATACAGACAAGTTCAAATAATGATCAAACAAATTACAAGAACAAATGAATAAAGTATTATACAATGCAGACAGTATCAAATGAAATACTGACCAGTTCAAATAATGATCAAACAAATTACAAGAACGTATGAATAAAATAATATTAAATAGAGACGTTATAAAATGAAATACAGACAAACGAAATAGTATTATAATGACATTCTAAAAACGCTCTACGTATTATACTCACATTCTAAAAGAAGACTATGAACTTCATAATGTTCCCAAATTCAATAATACATTTGTAATTGTCTACATACAAAAACAAACAATATTATTTGTCTGTGCTTTGTGAACCATGAAGAAAGACACTACATAATCACCTACCTTGCTCAGCCTTCACAGTGTTACCATCCGGTGCCTCCTCATCGCGTTGCATGGCAGCCAGAGTGTCTTCAACTCCTTCCCTCCGTCGTATATTCTCCGTCGTGTCTTCATCATCTTGCATCCCTCCCTCCAGCGATACTGCACGCTCTTCCAGCACCTCAGGCGTGTTAGCGGGACTCGGGCCGAATATATCCTCCCATGTCCACCCCAGGCCCGCTTCGTCGTCGCCGTCGTGTCTGTTAGCTTCCATGGCGTTCGTCGTTGCCGCCATACACACTCGATCACCACCGGTGACGGAGGAGACCACCAGTGTAGAGAAGGAAGAGCTCACAGACAAACGAAAATAATGGCACAGACAGTTCGTTTGATGCGCAGAGGCCTACGTTTGAAATAGAGGAGAGAGGGTGGTGGGGGTTAAATGAGTTAGAAAAGGGAGGAGGTGAGGCTTTTTTATGATGTGTAGAATGATGTGTAGAATGCCGTGTACATGTAACATTTCTCTCCATCTAATACGTAACTTCCGCCTCCTGCCACATTCACACTTCTCCCGGTTTCTCTTTTTCCACTGCTCTCAAGTGCGTTTCTTCACAAAGAAGCCACTCTCAAGAATTTCAATTTTTAAAAGAATCCAATCCCGACCTTTTCAGTGAGCAATAGCAGAGATTTTACAAGTTTCAGTTTGAAGTCCAAGTGTCAGCTGCTTTGTAAGCTCCTTTGGAAACCCACCCTGGTCGAAGCCTTATGTCTTATCTTTCTTTCTACGAAGTTCTTTTAAAACAAAACTGTATGGTCGTTCAAGATAATTATGATTATACATCTGCAACTCCTCTTTTACAGTTCCCTAATTATTTACACGGTCCTCAGCAGCAGCATCAAACGAAGAGGTGGGATGTAAAAAATGTGTTAAAATCCATTAAAATCTATAGAAATCAATGATCTAGAATTCCATAAGATTTTATTAAAATTCCATGGAATCTCTCGAAATCTATTAAAATCCAAGAGATTTTCAATCTTTAGAAATATTTTAAAATCTATGTTGGGGACACCCCCTTAGGATTCAATAGATTAGTATTCTAACTCTTTTAGCATTTATTATGAATGTGATTTGTAAGCTCCAATTCGTCATTTGTGAGCATCATTTATATTGGTATGAGTTTGATTGTGAATTGTTACTATTCCTCTCGTTATTTAGTTAGTTAGTATTAGTATTAGTTGAAGGGTTTGATTCTTCCCAAATATCGTTGAAGAGTTTGATTCTTCCCAAACACCAGAGATCACGTTAGAAAGAAAAGGACATCTTCTTGAAAATTGACTCATTCTCAAACGATATCGATTGATGAAAATATGTAAAGAACAATTGTTAAGTTGTAAAGTTGTGTAATTTTTATAGTTGACTTTGACTAAAACTCTTGTTTCGGTAATATTTTTTTTCTTTGGTTTTTTTGTTGCAATATACTCCCTCCGTAACTTTAGAATCTTCCCATTTCAAAAGTAGGTAGATTAAGAATAGTGAAAGATGATATGAATTATTGAGGGTATGATGGGAAAATAGTGGAATAATGTGGTGGAATGTAGGATAAATCCAAAAAAAGTAGTTGTAATAGTGTATTATTTTAAGAATTATTGAGGGTATGATGGGAAGATTTAGAAATGAGAAGATTTTTGTGTTACGGACAAAAAAGGAAAGTGGGAAGATTTTTAAGTTACGGAGGGAGTATGTTCTTTTGTTGTTTCAAGGGGTTCTCTGACCACTCTTATCTCCCTTGGCTCCGCCTAGAGTCAAGACAAGATCATGCACATATTTCATATGACAAACCATATTTCACTAAGCATGACTTTTTGTATCTATTTTGACCGTTCATGTTGTTTTGCTAAAACGGTGATTTTTTTTTGTTGCAATATACCTTATTTAATTAAATTTTGCCCCCTGGATGCCAAAACTGGATCCACCCCTTGGTTCAGTCCCATCAAATCAAGTCCCCCCATTCATCTCTTATCAGGTGGCTTCATAAACTTGTTCCTACTAAGACATGGAAGAAGTAGAATCCGCATTCAACGCGGCAATTCATCCATGTTGGGCAGATATTGAACTCGCCGAAAGGTCAAATCTTTTGCCCCTTTCGTACCTCGTTATCTATCTCCGATATTCAATGAATTCACATTTTTCGTCTTTAAATTGAGTTTTGCAGCTACCTTGTGTGCTGTATGTACCATGATGCTGCATCTTTATCCCACTCTATACTGAAGCGTTTGTTAGAAGGTATTAGTTCTCACAAGAGTAGTGATGAGTTGGATGATATGTTGCAGTCAGCTGGAATGGTCTTTGTTCAGTCCTTGAATCAACTTGGAAGGTACCTCCAATTCAAAATTTAAAATTATATAGTATATTATTTTTTTCCCATTTAATAGACTAGAAATGTTGGTAGTATCTCGAATTTTGCAGACTGGATCTTTATCTATGAGTAGTTATTTATTTTGTAAAAAATTAAATATAAAAGTGCAACCTTTCAGCCCTTGGTGTAGACCAATATGAATTTGATTTTTGGTTTGTTTGCAGGGCATCACAAGTACTGAAAGAACTTAAGTTGTTGTTTGGTTCAGTCACTACCATCCCTTTTCAAGTCTTTTTTACCTGGTACCCTTATTATATCACACTTTCATCTCATCAATGACCTCATTTATATGTTCTTGGCCTCTTGCTAATTACTATATTTTTAATTTAGTATCGAATCATTTGGCCTATGAAAATGGCTTGCAGAAAGTAGAAATACAGAATTTCCTTAAAACATTAACTCCATTTTTTGCCTATTTACGGAACAAATTTAGTTGAAACTAAGACCTAGTTCACCCACATACCTTAGTATACACATTGGGCATACACATTTTCATTGAAGTCCTTAAAACTTCAATGTGTTTTATAGAAGGTGACGTTAAACCTTCTTGAACAGGGCATGTTTCCAAATACCTGACGACATTTCTTCTGATTTTCAAGAAGTTCTTGATGAATTTCTTAGCAAATGGAAATACATGGAGGCAAATTATTATGCTTCTCGAAGTGTTGAAGGTGACGTTGCTCATGGAGAGAGCTTCAGTAAGCAGCATGTGTTGGGAGTTGATGAATATCTGAAAGTTGTTGAGCTCTATGTGATAACATTTCTTGGAAGAACTATAAAGAATGTTGATCTTGCAATCTCATGGGTTGAGAAAGCCAGTTTACCCGAGAAAAAGCGTCAGGTCAATATTTTTCCCTCATATTCTCTTTTGACATTTCCTTAGGATTTTAGTTGGCATTTTCAATGATACTACTAAACAAACTTTTTGGTGATATTGTGAGAGAGAATTTACCAAGCCTGGGAATTATGGGAATTTTGGACGTAGTTTTCCAAAACATCTTTTTCCTCACTACCTAGTGTGCTTTCCTGCTTGAATTAAGATCTCTTGATGTCCATACTAAGTCTGAAAACATTATTGTTTGAGATTTGTTTCCAATGTCTATACTAATTTCTAATGGATGGGATATGACCACATTTAATCTGGCACATGCTTTGTTGTTGTAGCTGCTTTGAATTCTTATTGCACTTAATAACATTCCATTTGTATTTCCTATCATATATGGAGCATGAAGTTCTTTAACAATGTTGGCATAATGTCCAACATCTAAATGCAATATATCATTGTTATCCATTGTTTTTAATCCTTCAAAATTTAGTTACTTGTGTGAAATAATGCTTTGTTGTATGTCAACCTTTAAAGTTTACCCCTATATTCTTGCTCTGTACATTTCCCCTAGAACATAACATAACTCTTGAGCATTTAGATGTTGGACACACCATTTTCTAATCACCATTTTCTTGAGGATCTTTTATTTCATTTTATAGTGTAGCATTTTTAAGAAAGTGTATCCATAGTTGACTGACTATTCCTGTATGGTTTTTTTTCCAGAATCTGTTGAGACAATTATACTCCATGAACACTTCTGAACTCGGCAGTTCATCAGAGTCCAATGCATCACTATTGCAAATAGATGAACATGTGCCTCAATCTTCTTCCACAAAGGATGAAAAAACTGGTTCTGCAAACGATCTGGAGAATAATTCAAAACAAGCGCTTATTGAAATGTACAAAAAGAGAGGATCCTGTTGGTGGTTCCGCACCATAAGTTTGAAGTTTAGGAGTACTCGATTCATCATATCAAATGGAAATATTTTCCTATGCTTTCTAGCTCTTATCTTATTTCATCTCATGAGGAGGAAGTCAAATTTTAAGAGGTAAGGCATGCTCAAATTTTACTACATATCCAACTGCCAGTGCCTTTTTTCCCAAAGATTGGTTACTCTATTTTTCCCCCTCAATTTTGCTACTTAGGGGCTGATTTTGGAATTTATGTTGGATTGAGTAGAAAAGTGATTGGACTGGGCTGAAGGAAATATTTAGGTGGGTAAAAGATAAGATAGAAAGAAAAAGGTTAACATAAAATAAAGGTAGCCTGAGACTAGACTACAAAATGGGTGATTTGTTTTTGAGTTCATTTATCTTAAAATGGTGCCAATTGAATATAGCTTGAGTCTTGAGACCTTTGATGAAACTATTGGAGACCTAAATTTTAAGATTTAGAATGATACCTGTCCATATGGGTAAAAATAATATTTCCAAGGATCTGTCTTATTAATTAAGGCCTGTTTAGGTATACACTTGATAGAGAACACCAAAATCCAGATACACAACAGGAGAATTTAGGTATATTAAGTATAGAATTCAGAGAATAGCTCAGAAAATCCTCAAGTAAACGACACTGGAGGAAGCCGTAAACCAGCGTTCCAAAAAAAAAAAGAGATGACAGGTTTGAGATTCTTCGAGTGGCTTCACTCTCCCAGCCTATATTCAACTGAATTCCAGCCTACCTTCATACTATTCCCTGCTCCTATTTATAATATTTTCTTACAAGACGGGCTGGACGATTCATAACTAAAATACCAGGTCCGGACCCCCTTTTAACATGATAACACACTATGTAACATTATTTTATTATTCTTATTATAATTATTCTCTTTAGCCCATGATCCTATCATACCTCCCCCCTTAGACAACCACCTTTTCCTCAAGGTGGGTGATAGGAAACCGCTTTGACCCCCAGCTTCATCTTTGCGCCTCTTGCTTCCGTCACTGCTT